CAACTTGGGAGCCGATTGAAAGCATTAGGGAAACGCAAGCACTCGACAGGTTCGAGGCTACTTACGGTAATATAGAGATAAATAATGGTCCTGAAAACGATAGCTCTGGAGGATTCGTAGGCCCTGCAGAGGGTCATATATTGGATAAACGGCGTCAAAAACGCCATGGCAAAAACAAACAAAAACAATTTTTAAAAGATAAATAAAAAAAAAATTACAAGAACCTCCCAATCTATTTCCTAAAAAATTTTGGAGGGGAGCTTGTGACGGCTTGTAAGCCGGTAATTGCCTGTAGCCTGCGCTGTCAAACGCAGGCTTAGCATGAAACTAGGCAGGGACTATTCTTGGAAGCAGGGTCTTATAACTTGGCAAACACCTCTAAGAATAGGGCACGAGAAGGGATACGAGAAGGGATACGAGATGGGATACGAGATGGGATACGAGATGGGATACGGATATACGGATAGAAAACTGTGTCATTGGCCTGGCTAATAATCATGTATAAAGTAACTGTTATTATCCTCTTCAATCTATAGTTCACCATAGATTGAAAATAAACTATCTCTGACCATAAGGTCGCTCAAGTGCCTATGCTTAGACTGTGACACTTTACCAGTAAGAATACGCGGAAACACTGCATGGAACTGATTTGGTCTGATACCCGCAGCTAGGCAAATATCTAAGAATAACAAGACTTTGTCATCTAGTAGATCGTACACATTGCCGGTATATCTATCCTCAAAGCTGTATATTTTTGTGAAAGCTGCTCAGGTTTGTAAATTTTTTGGTTGTAAGACTTTCCCTGAATAGGTAATGAGCAATAGAAATCGAATGGTTCCTGTAGAATCATTGAGTCTCTACTGATAGGTTCAGCGGTAGGAAGCGGGTACTGGGGTACTGAGGTGCCAGGTTGCCATGTACTTGATGATTATCTAATATTACCTTGCTGCTCAATCGATGGTTGCCGCGGAAATTGCAGTGTCTGCTGCTGTTGTGGTACTGCTGTACTGGCTGTGCTCTTAGTTGCGACTTTGACTGCGTCTTTTGGTCGTTTTGATCGCTTTGGTTATTATTGCCTTGGGCAAAGACCTTGGGCAAAGACCTTGGGCAAAGACCTTGGGCAAAGACCTTGGGCAAAGACCTTGGGCAAAGACCTTGGGCAAAGACCTTGGGCAAAGACCTTGACATCAACTCCTTGCTAGGTACCAATTTTTCAATTTAAAATTAACTTTTTGCGATATTCGAAGAACTGGGATCTTGGATCTAGGTTGACCTGTTTGATAAGCTCATTGTCGTCCCACTCTGGCAATGTTTTAGCGGTCAGTAAAGCGAACAATTGCTTGTTGATATGGCCTGCTGTGGGCCCGAGGTAAATTCCATGATTGCGAAGTGCCTGCTTTAAGCCCTTCCGAGTTTCAAACTCGGCAACGCTAAAGTGATTCAGAGTCCAACCCTCAAATTCTTCCTGGTATGTAGCCAATAGATCTTCATCGATCTCTTCATTATTAGTGTAAGATGCAATAGCTTTTGCAATTAATGTAGATGTATGGGCTGTGTCGGAATTTTCATTTATAGGCGTATTGTATAGTTCCTCCATAACGTGTCTCATCACAGATTGTCAGATAGGAATCTTCGAGTCCCCGACCAGTTGCTCAGCAGTACAGGGCATTTTTGTTATTCAAAGATTAAAACGTAATTGTTTTGAGTTTTTCGGTATGATTTCCGAGCTCTGATGGGCGTTCTTTTAATTGCGTAGCTGACACACTACTAGATTCCTTTAAGGTTCGTAGTACTTGAAGATAACGATCGGTAACCACTAGATTCCTCTTGGGTTCGTAATGATTCTCAATCATCTCTAATCTTAACACAAATCTCACTGTTCTGCGGAGGGACTGAGCTTCAATTAAGCCATGTGACGCTTACGAGAAACCGTTAATCTCAGGAAAAGTGATCGGGATCTATCTCTTCTGTCTAGCGAATCTGTGGCCTGAAGACCACTGATCAGTGTTAACAGGACTTAAGCACTAGTGCTGGGGAATAGAAATAGAGTGTACTGAATTGTATATATATTATTACTACTATCTAGGGTGTTTCGAACCTCTACAAATTAGATGAGACGCACAAGCCTCTCCAGGCTAGTCAGCCATTATTTTTTGCCGAGCCTAACGGCCTGAGGTTGCAACATTCAGCTTGAGTGGAACCAACAGTGCCACATCTATTTTCTGTAATGTTAATTAGTCTTGGCGCTTAACACAAGATATGTTGGAAATTATGGTATAAGCATGATTCTGTCTTACACTCAGCTATCTTGGGGGTCTACTGGTAGTCAAGACATACCTTCACCATGATAATGTCGCCATACTGGGACATGGGCGCATATCCTGGCTTGTTTCTAAATTCGTCTCAGTAGGACTAATTCCTGTATATATATGTAGTGTTCTTCTCCTTCAGAAATCCTCAGTTCATTACATTTACTGAATATCTCTGAAGGTCTATTCATACCCTCTTCGTGTCAGCCCTACCAAGCTTCACCCTTAAGCTCTATTCAACTGCTTCGTTGTTCGGCATATATCCTTCACCTCCCTATACCATTCCAGCATTTCTCTACGATCCATAACCTCACAATACAAAGTACCAAGTAACAAAATTCATCGACTCGTATTCAGTCGAATTAAATACGCCACGAGGCTCATGGCCACGCTTTGACGTTGATTGCTAAAACGGGCAGCTACTGACCCTCTACCGTCCCAAATCACTGACGACGCTCAACCTCCACCAGTAAAATCGCAAATACAAGACGATCAATTAGATAATGAAAAGTCCCTGCAACTAATTGAGAAAATTCTACGAGCTGAAAATAAGAAAATTTAAATAGAATCTCGACGCTTGGTCCTAGTTAAGTGGAAAGGACTTGCTGAGCCCCCGTGGGGGCACAGGGCTACTTTGGAAGAAACTGAAGCGCTAGATGTTTCTAAAGCGCGTTAGGGAACAAAAGATAATGTTAGTGAAGATTCTGGTGCAATATTGGGGCGTAGATTTTGGAACAGTAATCTTTTTTTTTTTGCATTAGATTTTGATTGCGCATGCAGCTATGTAGCTATGACACAATATCAATGAAATTTACAGAAAAGATGACTCTATTTACAAGAAGAGCTTACATGCCTCAGATTTCATTTGCGAGTACCACTGCTAAAATATGGTGGCTTTTTCTTCACCTCAAGTCAACCCTGATCCGTGAATACTCACCCAGGGGAACGTCTCAAAAACCCTGAGTTATCCAAACGTGCCTCCGTCATCCATTATCTTTCTTCCGCGCGAAATGTGATCTTAGATGTCTCCTTCCCAAGTGGAGTAGGTGCCCAGGCTACTCAAACCATACCAGAGAACATCACCAGGAGGCGAACCACATCACCTTCCATCGTCGGCTTGTTTTTATAGTGTCAGCTGCACTCTCGCAAGCGAATTCTTGGCGCGCACAAAGCTCAATTCGTAAAACTCCTTGCCAAAATTCAGAATCTCACGCCCATCTAGACTGTATCCATCCTCTGCATCATCTTATCAATCTGTCCAGAATCCCCTCACGTCCATCCCAAAAGAACTGTCTCCCAGATTTGTGCGCCACGCTTTGCTTCCTCCGTCGGGTATAAATATCGGCGTGGGCGTGTATTTGGCGGCCAGCTGAGGCCAGCTAAGGCCAGAGAAAGTCGACAAGAGGTGTGATCATTGGAATGAGGACGTACTTGGTCGTACTTGTAGACTTGATGAAACTTAGTTGGGAGTGAAACTCGTCGGGAGCGAAAAAACGACGTGGAGGAGTAATTTGAATCATTGCCTCGTGGTCCAACTTCTTTGATATTGCGAAATTTGACTGAACTTGGCTCTGGGAGAATATTTCACTCCCAGGTTCGTAGAGGACACCGCGTACAGGTGTTCAGTCTTGCCCTCCCAAATCCGTCTTAATAGGACCAATTCCTGAATGTAGCTTGTGTTCTACTCCATCAGAAACCTTCAGTTCACTGCGTTTAATGAATATCTCTGAAGATCTTGTCCACAACCACTTCGTGACACCCTCTCAAGCCCGTTCTAAAGCTCTACACCATAGCATCGTTTTTTGGCAGATATCCTTCACTTCCATGTACCGTTTAAGCATTCTTCTCGGCATCCTTAGCCTTACAATGTGTCCTTGGTCATACTTGTAGACTTGAGGCTTGGAAAAGAATTGATTCATTGGGAGTGGAAGGTGACGAAGTGGAGTCTCTTGAATTATTGCCTCGTGCGCCAAACTTATTCGTATCGCGAGATTTGACGGAACTTGGCTCTGGTAGAATACTTCACACCCAAGTCCAAATTTTTATTAAATCCATTTATTTCGTTTTTGAGTTTATAACTATGGAGGACGAACTACTTAGAAGCATCATATTTTTTAAATCCTAGTTTCGGCATCCCTTGCATGAATAGTGTGTTCCCCAATTATGGCTCACCCCCCAAGTCCACTGATAGCACCAAGGATAAGATTTCGACCTTTTTCCTCCCATTTTCTCACCTGCGTGCTCCAAGCTCATATTACAATGGCTTGTATAGAAATTGGACTATTATCCAGGATCCTTCATCCGAGCCCCGTTCTAATATCATGGAGACTCCGGATGCGATGGAAGGAAAACTCTACAAGGAGCACCCTTCCCTCTCTCTCATACAGTACATTCTTTTGTGTCTAAATTTGGGTGCATTTTTCTGCCTATAAATGCACAGTAGATGTATTAGTTGAGAGATGTTTTTGGCAACTATATCCCTCAAGATCTGAGCACCTTTAAGACCGAAAGAAAATCACTTAAACTTAATCTTCAAGTGACAACATTTACACGACGATATATATTGCTGCAGCGTTATTTCTTCATCGACACAATCATAAATTCAATTCATCACGACTTGAGGGACCAAGAAAGAGACATTCAACACTTTTCTCCGACCTGACCAAAAGCCTTGTTGGAGGCCACTTCAAGATGAAGTTCTTCTGTCTGACGTTCATATCCATATTCTTCAGCTTCTTAGCTTCAGTAAATGCATCGATGTATTTTCATTGCCCGAGTGAAGCTTTAATCTTGTATGACGATGTTATGCAAAGAGCACAAGAAATGTATCTTAAAGTGAGATTGTTTGACGCCAACACACAACTCGGCCAAAACACGGTAGATGACATCACTATTTCTGGTAGTGTGGAGAGTGGAGACTTGTCTTACACTGGCCCGTTTTTTCCGTACTTTCAAAGTTAGCTAGTCCCCTACTTTTTAATACGACAGCTGCTAATTTCTTTCAAACACAAGCCTCACACAAATACAGTATTTTTATAAATGGAATCACGACAGACATGTACTTAAGTGAGACTACAGGAAGTTCAACTCAAGATTGTACTATGGGACCACCTGAAAGCCACCCACCATCAAACAGAGTATCTGATTGGACATCACTTGGTGGTTAGGCAAATCATCATTGTAGGAGCACAAGCACTGGGATAATTTTGCGGCCCGAGATGTGTTATTTTTAGACTGTAGTGTGCCTAAGAATTGTCTTTAAAATTAATCAATTGATTGTTAAGGATATTTATGTCTATTCATTAACGTGCTAGGAAACATTACATTAATCGTACTCCTGGAACTCAAGCACAAGTAGGGCCCGGCCGGATCATGTTGACTACTGTAGAGTACAAATACCTCTTTTTTTTTGCACCAGATATTTATTGCGTATGCAGCTATCTAGCTATGACACAATATCAATGAAATTTACAGAAAAGATGACTCTATTTACAAGAAGAGCTTACATGCCTCAGATTTCATTTGCGAGTACCACTGCTAAAATATGGTGGCTTTTTCTTCACCTCAAGTCAACCCTGATCCGTGAATACTCACCCAGGGGAACGTCTCAAAAACCCTGAGTTATCCAAACGTGCCTCCGTCATCCATTATCTTTCTTCCGCGCGAAATGTGATCTTAGATGTCTCCTTCCCAAGTGGAGTAGGTGCCCAGGCTACTCAAACCATACCAGAGAACATCACCAGGAGGCGAACCACATCACCTTCCATCGTCGGCTTGTTTTTATAGTGTCAGCTGCACTCTCGCAAGCGAATTCTTGGCGCGCACAAAGCTCAATTCGTAAAACTCCTTGCCAAAATTCAGAATCTCACGCCCATCTAGACTGTATCCATCCTCTGCATCATCTTATCAATCTGTCCAGAATCCCCTCACGTCCATCCCAAAAGAACTGTCTCCCAGATTTGTGCGCCACGCTTTGCTTCCTCCGTCGGGTATAAATATCGGCGTGGGCGTGTATTTGGCGGCCAGCTGAGGCCAGCTAAGGCCAGAGAAAGTCGACAAGAGGTGTGATCATTGGAATGAGGACGTACTTGGTCGTACTTGTAGACTTGATGAAACTTAGTTGGGAGTGAAACTCGTCGGGAGCGAAAAAACGACGTGGAGGAGTAATTTGAATCATTGCCTCGTGGTCCAACTTCTTTGATATTGCGAAATTTGACTGAACTTGGCTCTGGGAGAATATTTCACTCCCAGGTTCGTAGAGGATACCGCATACAGGTATTCAATCTTGCCCTCCAGGCTGCTGTATTAGGAAAGGGTGGAAAACACTGGCTGATGCACAGACGCTGTTCATGTACTCTACAATCTCTTCACCCGCCGAGTTTAGTGAATCAATCTATCCATATAATATCTGTTAGAGTTAGACTCTAGTCCCATGGTGTCTAAACTGTGTTTATTAGACTGCAGGTTTCCGCCGTTGATCATACATCTACGGGCAAATTACACTTTAGGATATGTGCACGGAAATGAAGGCTGGAAAACTTAATACAGAACTGACGGACATGGTAGAACGTAGTTTTGGACTTGCGCATAATATGGGAGGCAGGTCACAACTCTGTATCGAACATATATCTCAGGGGATATAGGTGCTCTATATTTGACTTTGGGTATCTATAAAAGAAGGCATTTACATGTACATACTAGAGTAGACTTCACGGGAGGGTATTTCCATAATAAATATATATATTAAAGATACTTGATAAAGACCTTTACATTATTTACATCCAACTGCAATCGCAGCCACATCACAATCGACAAACAGACCATATTCATTATATGTCTGAATATTTAGATAACTAAAGTCGAATAATATCCTACTTCACATCATCCATTCGATGATATTATCAATCGTCGGGATGCGCATCTAGCATCACCCTCATAGATCACCATCGTCAGTAAGAGTTCACATTTGATACCTACTGAGATCCATTTGGCCACAGTGATACGCACTCAATCTCCATCGTGCCATCACCCAGCGTGAGTGCGCCATCTCCGCGACTCACTATTGCACATAAGCCCGTGCCACTCCACTGACAGACAGCAGAGTCATAATTGCCGTACAACTTATAGCTCATAAACTCAACACAACTACCACCTTCGGATCATCTCTGGTCACCTCTAGTATCTTTAGTTACCATTAGTACCCACTCGTCCCTCTAGTTTCTCCAAGTTATCTCCAGTAGAACTTTAATCACCTCTCGCAGTCCAATTAACCTCTTCTCGCCCTCCTATTTCGCTTCAGCTCAAACGCTTACGCTCCATTCTGACACATAGCAAAGCATCTACTCATATACTTTGTCTCAATTTGAATATAGAAAGTGAATGGGCATTTGTACGATTGAAAGGTAAAGCTTTAATTCATCTATGTAGAAGCAAACTATCAATTAGTCTACTCTCCTACTTATACACATCCAGAGGTATCTAAATCTAGCCTACGCTTACAATGGCAATGAAACTGACTAAAGGTTTGTTCTGCCACACGGGTAACGCTTCCGATAATCTTGGCACTATCCTTTACGTAGCCTCAGTGGCGATCTCGTATCAGTTTTCGTCTGCTGATAATCCTCGGAGTGATAGAGAATATAGGTTGCCTCCGACAGCCATCGAAGGCTACAGGACTTGTCGGCTCACAAGCCGTCACATACTTCAACGGTACAAGGTCGCTCGGGACCAAATACGGACTTTCTTATACAACAAACATCTGGGCAGCATGGACAGATACAACATGGGGGACCGAAAATGATAAGAAATCCTTCCAAGGGCAAACAATCATATGGAATGGGGGCGCAGAAACTTGGTCCACTAACCGTCAGAAAAGCACAGCTCAGAGCTCAGTGGAAGCAGAGATCATGTCTGCTAGTGAAGGGGCCAAAGAAATGGCCTGGATGGATAAAATTGCTCATGACATAATCTTCCAAATAACGAAACCTCCGCTTCCATATCTAGACAATCAGGCTGCAATAGAGCTTACCAAAACCACAAAATTTCATCTAAGAGCTAAACACATTGAAATTAAGCACTTCTACATACGAGACAACATGGTGATGAAAAACAGGCTAATGGTCACATTTAGACCAGGTACTGAATAGATTGCAGATATATTAACAAAACAGTTACCCAGGCACCAGTTTGTAAAGTTATCGTCCGAGCTAGGCTTATCTCATTAAACTTTGAACGAATTGTATGGGTGATATTAGTACTACAGAAGTTCACACAGCAGATTATGATGGGACCAGGATAAGAGTTCTCTTATACCACAATGTAGTTTTATTTTTCTGTATAACTACTGGAATTTTTTAGAAGAGAAGTGTAGGAATACTCGAGTGGTATTTATATCACAAGCTTTCTGTAGCAGTAGTAACAATTGGTGGTTAACATATATCTTCTCTTCTTCTTTTCTAACTAAGGGAAACACGTTTGTACAGCAGTTGTCCCTCTTTCCTAACGCCATTCCTAAACAGGTAACTCATTACTTATCAACATAATTAGTCATCAATTCTAAGATAATATATAAGAGGTCATTAAGTCACGAGGCCATTCAACAAGAAGTAAGGGTCACATTTTTTTAAGTGTTGTGGAAGTTAATGAGGCTCTATAATATTGCAGCAAGGGGGCGTGTCAGAAAATGCTTCTTAATCAGCTATTTGGTCAAGTGAAAGGTGTCTACATCCTTGATGCATAACTGTAACGGCTGTTAAGCCTAAGGATTCCTGTAGCCTACGCTGGCTAGCGCAGGCAATGAAAGCAAGGCAATCTTCGGGAAGGATCTCGGAATACAAGGAGCTTAGAAGATTCTCAATGAACATTCTGGAAGCACACTGATGGTTCATGAGGACAATAGGTGTATCAAGAATCTACTAGGGTATTGTCGGGGAGTCCGTGTTATTCTAGTCATAGGAAGAACCTTATTGAAAAGGAGTATCTCAGAGTGTTTATATTTGTATTCTAGCTATAGGAATTATCTCTCTAGAGAACTATAATTAACATATTGTACTTACAAGATCGCCCAAGCATTTTGTACTGAAACCGCGACAATAACACAATTTTATCACTCCATACTTATATACCACATTATACATTCTCCACATGTTGCATATTACCATCAGGATTATTATACTCTCGTGACTATAATTTCTCAATATCCAAATAATCTACTGTCCTAGAGGTGTGTCAGATGAGTATAGAAGTTCCCAATGAACGTCTAGAATTCAAAATCTGTAGGTTAAGAAGTGATAATTATGGTAACAAGATACCAAAGATGATCATGAACAAAAGAAGATTAAATTGAAAAGAATAACGCAAAATGCGAGGCTAATGATCTGGGCAAGCCATCTCTTCCGCTTCTTATGACCAGAACAATTTATTAATGTAATCTCCGGCTCGTCCTTGAACCATCCATCGCATGAGGGTATCTGAATTTAAGGATTCCTCTTCCGATCCTTTCTTCAGTATATAATTTTACCATTCTTTCGATGTTGCTATGACAACAGTACAGTTCTTGGCACATGGTATCATGTTGATACTGGGTTAGGGTCTATGTTATGATGAGCTAGTGGGAGGAAAGCAAGTGTATGTATGATGGCTTGGTCTGTAGCTATGGGGTTCTTCATGCTTAGTTTTCTCTCACAACCACCACCTTCGGATTACCTCTGATCACCTCTAGTTACCTTTAGCACCTTTAGTCACCACTAGCATTCGCTCATACCTTTAGACTCTCTAGACTTTTATATTACCAATTTTTTAAACCTCTATTTCTATTAAAATATACGTACTCTGATCACTTGTATAACTTGATAAGAGAGTAGGGCAAGACTGAACACCTGTATGCGGTGTCCTCTACGAACCTGGGAGTGAAATACTCTCCCAGAGCCAAGTTCAGTCAAATTTCGCAATATCAAAGAAGTTGGACCACGAGGCAATGATTCAAATTACTCCTCCACGTCGTTTTTTCGCTCCCGACGAGTTTCACTCCCAACTAAGTCTCATCAAGTCTACAAGTATGACAAAATACATACTCATCCCAATGACCACACCTCTCTTCGACCTTCTCTGGTCTCAGTTGACCAACAAATACATGCCGACGCCGATATTTACACCCGCTAGAGGAAGCAAAGCGTGGCGCACAAATCTGGGAGACAGTTCTTTGGGATTGGCGTGAGAGGGATCAGAGCAAGTAGACAAGACGATGCGAAGGAAGGATATAAGCTCGAAGGGCGTGAGATTCCGAATTTCGGCAAGGAGTTTTACGAATTGAGCTTTGTGCGCGCCAAGAATTCGCTTGCGAGAGTGCAGCTGACACTATAAAAACAAGCCGACGATGGAAGGTGATGTGGTTCGCCTCCTGGTGATGTTCTCTGGTATGGTTTGAGTAGCCTGGGCACCTACTCCACTTGGGAAGGAGACATCTAAGATCACATTTCGCGCGGAGGAAAGATAATGGATGACGGAGGCACGTTTGGATAACTCAGGGTTTTTGAGACGTTCCCCTGGGTGGATATTCACGAATAAGGGTTGACTTGAGGTGAAGAAAAAGCCACCATATTTTAGCAGTGGTACTCGCAAATGAAATCTGAGGCATGAGTGCTCTTCCTTTACGTTGAATCATCTATTTTGTACTTTTCTTTGATGTTGTGTCATAGCTAGATAGCTGCATACGCAATTAAAATCTGATGCAAAAAAAAAAAAAAACTTGATAAGAGACGCTGCACAGCAAATGTAAGGCGTAGATGAATTAGGATTGAATTGGTGTCCCACAGTAGTGATATGAGTTGGGTCTTAAAGAATTCCCCATCCACCAAGCTGTGTTTCCATTATCTACTCTATTCTAAACGTGTCTCATTCCCTCGTTTAACTGAGAAGTACTCTGTCAATGACTTGTGTCATCAAAGAATGACTACTCCTCCACTTGACAGATCATCTCTACGACTCGTCGCTTACATTACTCGGTGAGTGCTAACTGACGCGTCTATTATCCAGACAGTGCACGGCTCGTAACTAAGCGAGTCGTGTAATCCGAAACTGGAGGTTCCACGTTCTATCGGCTAGGACATGATCTGTTTCTCTAACAAGTTCTCCGAAATATCTCCTGTGGACCTCTAGCCATCCTTTGCGATCCATCCAACCTCTTCTCTCCCTCAAATTCCGCTTCAGTTCAAATGCCCAAGCTCCAATCAGAAACTGAATTGAATTAGTTATCCCCTCAGAAAATTAATCTGGGAAATTATTTGTGGACGCTTCCAATATCCTAAATCTTAATCATCCCGGAAAGCCTGTGTAACTGATTTATGCCAAGATACTTTCTTTAAGTATTGGTTCATTACTTTCCGAAAGCCGGTCTTGTAGGTAATTTTGTAGTTGATCTCTATAATCAATGTTGGCTGGCCCGATATCCCATTTGGTAACTCTGCCTCAGGGAAGCGTTTTGAGGTCATAACATTAAACGAGAGAAATTCAATTCACGCAACTCCCCACTACCTTTGTCGGACTCTTCGCTTTCTCGTTTCGCTTCACTAGGTGGTATCAAACACAAGTCTAACAGCATAAGTTTCTTAGGAAAGCTCACCCTCCAACGCAAAGAACTGCCTCCCAGATTTGTGCGCTACACCATGTTTCCTCTGTTGGGTGTAAATAATGGCATGGGCGTGTATTTGGTGGCCAGCTGAGACGAGAAAAGTCGCCAGGATGTAAACTAATTGGAACAAGGATTCACTGTTGTAATTGTTAAATTCCTGCACCCACTACACTGGTTATACACTATTTCGTTTTCGTTCCCGCTATTCGTATTGTGTGATTCGACGCTACACCTATTTTCAGTAATTATCCTTATTCTTAGGGTTGGATGGTGCAGTGGTACGCCATCCGGGCCGTTCTCCCAAGTAGATACTGGGTAGCTTGAACACCTACCCCATTCGAGACAGGAGAAAGCTGGTTCGAATCTAGTCAGACCCACACACCACTCTCTCTCGCGGTGATATTATACTTGTGGGATGATGAAAGCACACTCGGATAGCCACAGATTATTCACGCTTTTCCCTGTGGTGGGTATGCACGGAAGAGGTTATACGCCGTAAGGGTTAATCTCGAGTGGTATCTGCAAATGAAATCTGAGTGTGAGTGTTCTAAACTTCAAATTGAGTCATCCTACTTATAGTACATATCTTCCGATAAAAGCCTGCATGGGCCTCAAGGCGCCAAATCAGGATAATGAATATTTATTATTATTATTATTATTATTATTATTATTATTATTATTATTATTATTATTATTATTATTATTATTATTATTATTATTATTATTATTATTATTATTATTATTATTATTATTATATATTCCTTATTCTTAGCGCTTATCATAAGATATGTTAGAAGTTGTGGCATATGCATTAATTTACCTTGCACTCGGCTAGCTTGGGGGTCTACTGGTAATCAAGACATACTCACACCATGATAATATCGCCTCACTGGGATATGGATGCACATCCTTGTTTATTTCCAAATCCGTCCCATCAGGGTAATTCCTGATTGTGGCTTTTGTCCTTCTCCTTCAGAAACCTTCATGTCATTACGTTTAATGAAAAGCTCTGACAGTCATGTTCACAACCACTTCGTGACACCCTCTCAAGCCCGTTCTAAAGCTCTACACAATAGCATCGTTTTTTGGCAGATATCCTTCACTTCCATGTACCGTTCAAGTATTCTTCTAAGCATCCTCTGCCTTACAATGTGTCCTTGGTAGTACTTGTAGACTTGAGGCTTGGAAAAGAATTGATTCATTGGGAGTGGAAGGTGACGTAGTGGAGTATCTTGAATTATTGCCTCGTGGGTCAAACTTATTCGTATCGCGAGATTTGACGGAACTTGGCTCTGGTAGAATACTTCACACCCAAGTCCAAATTTTTATTAAATCCATTTATTTCGTTTTTGAGTTTATAACTATGGAGGACGAACTACTTAGAAGCATCATATTTTTTAAATCCTAGTTTCGGCATCCCTTGCATGAATAGTGTGTTCCCCAATTATGGCTCACCCCCCAAGTCCACTGATAGCACCAAGGATAAGATTTCGGTCTTTTTCCTCCCATTTTCTCACCTGCGTGCTCCAAGCTCATATTACAATGGCTTGTATAGAAATTGGACTATTATCCAGCATCCTTCATCCTAACTCCGTGCTAATATCAAGGAGACTCCGGATGCGATGGAAGCAAAACTCTACAAGGGTGCACCCTTCCCTCTCTCTCATACAGTACATTCTTTTGTGTCTTAATTTAGGTAATTTTATCTGCCCATTGATACGCAGTAGACGTATTGGTGGATAGAGTTTTTGGCAACTATATCCCTCAAGATCTGGGCGACTACAAAGCCGACAGAAAATCTCCTCCTAAACTACATTGTCAAGTGGTAACACCTACACGACTATTAATATTGCTTCAACATTTTTTCTTCCATTACACACTCATAACTTCAATTTGTCACGCGTTGAGGACCCAAGAAAGAGCTATTCAACACTTTTCTTCGACCTGACCGAAAGTCCTGTTTGAGGCCATTTCAAGATGAAATTCTTCTGTCTAGCTTTCATATTCACGTTCTTCGGCTTATTAGCTTCGGTACATGCATCGATATATTATCAATGCCCAAGTAGACGCTTAATCTTGTTTATTGATATCATGACAAGAGCACAAGAAATATATCGAAAGGTGAAGGACATAGACACCAATACACAACCCGGCCGAAACACTGTAGATGGCATCACTATTTCTGGTAGTGTGGGAAGCGGAGACTTGTCTTACACTAGCCCGTTTGTTCCTTCCTTTCAAAGTTAGCTAGTCTCCTACTTTTTAATACGACAGCTGCTAATTTCTTTCAAACACAAGCCTCAAACACATACAGTATTTATATAAATGGAATCACGACAGACATGTACTTAAGAGAGACTACAGGAAGTTCAACTCAAGATTGTACTATGGGATCACCTGAAAGCCCCCCACCATCGAACAGAGTATCTGATTGGACATCACTTGGTGGTTAGGCAAATCATCATTGTAGTAGCACAAGCACTGTGACAACCTTGCGGCCCGAGATATTGAATATTAGACTGAGGTGGGCCTGTGACGGGCTAGGTCTTTCGGCCAATGCACGAAAGCAATGCCACAATTAAGTGTATATATTTTCTATGAGGAAGTTACGAGTGGGAAGCTTTGACTCTTTATAACTACAATTCCTGTCCTAGATACCCTTGTGATGTGCAAGAAGCATGAATATTACATTAAGTGTTGTTAACTACTTATAAATACAGTTGTTGAGATATTGAGAAAGTATAGTCACGAGAGTAAAATAATGTAGATAGTAATATGCAATATGTGAGGAATGTATAGTTGTGGTACTAAGGGTGTGTAGTGATAAAGGTGTTATTTACTAATGATGTGGACACCTTTCACTTGACCAACTAGCTGACTAAGCAGCATTTCCTGACACGCCCCCATGCTGCAATATCCTAGAGCCTCATTAACTTCTACAACACTTGAAAAGTGTGACCCCTACATCTCTTCTTAAAGAGTTCATTAGTCCTACAGAAAAATGAAACTGTATTGTGGTACAAGAGTACTCTTATCCTGGTCCCATCATAATCTGCTGTGTGAACTTCTGTAGTACTAATATCACCCATACAATTCGTTCAAAGTTTAATGAGATAAGCCTAGCTCGGACGATAACTTTACAAATTGGTGCCTGGGTAACTGTTTTGTTAATATATCTGCAATCTGTTCAGTACCTTGTGTATATGTGGCCATTAGCCTATTTTTCATCACCATGTTGTCTCGTATGTAGAAGTTCCTAATTTCAATGTGTTTAGCTCTTCGATGAAATTTGGTGGTTTTGGCAAGCTCTATTGCAGCCTGATTGTCTAGATATAGAGGCGGAGGTTTTGTTATTTTGACGTTTATGTCATGAGCAATTTTCTCCATCCAGGCGATTTCTTTAGCTCCTTGACTAGCAGACATGATCTCTGCTTCCACTGAGCTCTGATCTGTGCTTTTCTGACGGTTAGCGGACCAAGTAACTGCGCCCCCATTCCATATGATTGTTTGCCCTTGGAAGGATTTCTTATCATTTTCGGTACCCCATGTTGCATCTATCCATGCTGCCCAGATATTTGTCGTAGCAGCAAATCTGTATTTAATCCCGAGCGACCTTGTACCGTTGAGGTATCTGAGTAGATGCTTTGTCATACTTAAATGGTTTGAATCGGGATCAGACATAAATCCTGCAAGTTGTCCTACGGCATAAGATATGTCTGGCCTTGTACCATTAGAAATATATAGGACAGATCCAACAATTTGTTGATAGAGGCAGATGTCATCATCTTTAAGCGTTTGATGGATATCATCTTTGGTAGATGGGCTTAGGACTGTTCCTGCTGGGAGTGGGAGATCCTTAGGTATACTTTTCTCCATTCCCAGTCGCTGAATAAGTTTTGTTGTATAGGCAGTTTGATGAATGCGAAGTGTGCGCTTCTGCCTATTTCTTTCCACTTGAATTCCGACGAAAGTGTCAACTGGTCCTAGCGCTTTGCAACTCCATTTATTCATGATGTCTGATTTGACGGAATTTAAATTTCCCTATAAATAAATTTGGATCAGCATCTCCACTCTTTAAAGAAATTCGATTAAAGTGATCTTTGACTTCTTTGAACCAAATATGCAGGGCTTGCTTTCAACCGTATAGTGATTTGTTAAGTTTGAGGTAATTTTCCTTTCGATTGATTCCAGGGTGTTGTAACAAAAAGAAATCAGGTATCTCCATATAAATCTCTTCTTCTAATTTTGAATTTAGAAAAGCTGTATCCACATCAAGCGCTTCAATTTCAAGATCGTCTACTGCAGCCTTTGATAGAAGTATCAGGAGTATGTTGTACTGTATTACCGACGCAAAAGTCTCGAAGTAATCGATACCGTGCTGCTGTTCAAATCCACGGACAACGATTCGTGCTTTTCGTCTGTCTAAGCTACCGTCACTTCTGAACTTCTTTCTAAGAACTATTTTGCTAGATATTATTTTCTTTCCAGGAGTTGGAGACCCAGTCAAAATTGTATATGTGTTGGTGGCTTGCAGGGAGCGCAATTCTGATTTTATTGCTTCTTTCCATGATTTGGGATCTTCATGTATGGCCTGTTCAACAGTGATAGATTCAAATGGAGGAGTAGGCACTTGAATTGATAACGACTCACCGGCGTTAATATGGACTGCTTGTGCAGAAATAGCATTTGCTGTAACAACATGATTGAACACGGCTTTCGCCACTCTTCTCAGCGGTCTGCCAAATTTTGATTTTGGCGGGGAGCAAGGAGTCTGCCCAATCAATGGTTCGATGGCTTCTCGGATAATCTGAGGGGTACTTTCTCAGAAGTTCATTCGCCCTCCTAGATATTCTTGCTCTACTACCCTCATGGTGGCCTCTTCCACTACTGCAGTAGGATGAATAGCCTCGACCATGGGTTCGCGTGAGAGCTTCCTCCACGCGTTCTCGTGGCAGCTTCCTTCACGTCTTATTACGGGAGTCTGTAGCTCTACCAAACCTATGTAGGTCTCTTGCTCGTCCATTCTAATGGGAGCCTTCTGTATATAGCGTTGATCAGACGCATCTCTAGCCTCTCGCAGGCGAGTTACAGGATTTTGCAATTCAGAGTCATTTTCGCCCGAACTCATTGCCTCAATTGGGCGAATTGCAGCGTACTTCTTACGCGCTTGCTTAACACCTTTCTGCCTAGCTTCTATCAGCTGCGGCTGGTACATCTTTGTTCGCTCTAAAGGTACTTGTATAGGTGTTAGCACATCTGGTCTATCAGGTAGAGTAAAGAGTGAGATGTCAATTTTAGGAAATTCATGTCACGGCACGGCATTCTGCTCCGCCATGATATACAATTACGTGGAGGGAGGATGTGAGACTGATGGCTGATGCAGGAAGGAGCACGGACGCGGCGATTTAGTGGAAACCCGCCCGAATAGGAATAGCCTCAGGGCTTTTTGTAATGAGATCCTGTTCTTTTCTATTCTTCTCCAGCTTAGTATTTGCTTCACAGATTGAATTATCGCCATACAAGCTGTACTTTCACTTGTGCCTATTCTACGCCGTGACATAATACTAAGCTCCCTAAACTACTCAACGCGACCTCTGTAGAGAGGTAAAATACTAATTTCAGACTCAGTAATCTGTGGACAGCGTTTCGCTCACGATTATCTGGACAGTCATTGGCTAATTGTCTCGCTAATAAAGGAAAGCAGAAGATGCCAGGAGAGTGGCCGAAGGAAGACTTCACAACCTAGGTGTACGCCACCCGCGCACCCGGGGAAGAGGAGGACCTCACTACGAAGATTGATGTTCCATGGTATCAGAAAGTCACTTTTGAATTGTTGGACAAGGATTACAACAAGAGAAACAAACGCCGCGCTGCTGAAGTCAAGAAGGAGACTGATCAAGAACGTCACGAACATACCCTTAAGACTATGTGTACCGCCCTGGCTGATCGCGCCAACAACATCAGCAACTACCTTCGAGATACATTGGAGCAGAAGGCAGAGGCAGAGAAAATGGCACAATCCTGGGCGGAGGAAGCTGAGCGCTGGAAGGCTGCATTCGCAGAGGTCACTCTAGATCTCAAGGCCAAGGATAAGGGTAAGCAGAAGGAAGAATCCAAGTCGGTGCGAGGATCTGCAGCCTATAACACTGTTGAGAAAGACGCTGCCGGCTGTGAGGCCTCAGAGATACCACCAAGATACAAAGAGGTCCGTGACCCACAGGCTAAGCAACTCCGCCACCGCCAGAAGATTGAGAACCCACCCACCTTCATGGGTTCCCATAATCCTACTTTCGAGAACTGGGAACACGCTGTTAAGCGCAAGTTGAACGGCGACTCGATCTACTTTGATGATGAAAACCACAAGATCAATTACCTCTTGGGATTTATTGGTGGTGATGCACAGGAATTCATAAAACCCTACCTCGAGCCAGAAAGCGTCAACCACATCACTGTTGCGATGTCTATCGTCGAAGTTATGCGAGGAGCCTACGGCAAGACCCGAGGACAGAAGCGCTCCGAAGCTCGTGCCAACTTCAAGAAACTCCGACAAGGGGATGACAGCTTCTCAGCCTTCTTCACTAAGTTCCTGACCTTCGCTTCTCAATTGCAACTTAGAGACGAAGACCGCATGGATGAACTTCGCGAAAAGATGAGTCCCAAGTTGCAAAATGTCATAGCCGGATTGGATTTTGAATCTACCTTGGAGATGTCTCAACACTGCTTGAAAATAGAACCACACCTGCAATTAGCGCGCAAATCGGAGGATCAAGCCGCTCGCTACCAACAACGCAAGGACAGGTACAAGAAGCCAATTCTCCCGCCGGGCCTAACTCGTACTGCACCTCCAAGAGCGTCTGGTCCACCCAAGCCAAAAGTCTTGGCCCGAAACGCTGGTGTCTGCTTCCATTGCCACAAGACTGGTCACTACGCTAACGCGTGTCCTACTGCTAAAGTCAATGAGGTGGATGCGAAGAAGAAGGAGGAAGCTGAAGCATCTGGATCGGAATTCACCATGAGCTCCGATGAGGGAAAAGATTGTCTCTAGGAGAAGTCGCCTTCCTAGAGAATAACACGTATCGAGTAAATGGCATTGATTTGGAAAATTTGTTTGGCGGAAGGCCATTAGTTATAGATTGTACTCTTGAAACTAAAAACAATTCCCAATTTCCAATCTCTGCCCTCATTGATACCGGCGCTAATGGATATGCCTTCGCAGATCGTAAACAACTGCGTGATTGGTACCGAAATAGTAAGATTAAGATGACGCGCTACAATCTCCGTCATCCACTCTCTATCAGAGGCTTCGACGGCGGATCATCCCGACCTCTACGCCATACCTACGTGATGACACTGACTATAGACTCGCACCGAGTCAACATGCCGTTCTTTGCTACCACACTTGGTAACAAGAACAATGTGATCCTCGGTCGGCAGTGGCTGGCCTATCATAACG